CCCAGCTCTTTTAAATAAATTTCAATTGTTTATATTTAATATACATAACGTGCTATGGTATACATGTAAATAAAAAAGTTGCTATAGTGAAGTTAACATCCATCGTATAATAGTTACCCATTTTTTGTTTTATTTTTGTGGCAAGAACAGCTCAAATAGCATTTAGCATAATGCTTATATACAGTACAATTTTATTACCTGTTATCTTTTGTCTTTGTTACTTTGCACATTGCTGAGACAAAGTACCTGACACTCAAAGTTAAAGGAGGAAGGTTTATTTAGCTCAGTTTATAGAGGTTCCAGTTCATAGTTGGCTGGCTCCAAAGCAGGGTGGCATGGCAGGGGGACATGATAGTTCATGGCAGGCAAAAGGCAGCAAGCGACAATCGACAAACCGCTTTTCTGTCCCTTATATCTTATCCAGGCTACCCACTGTTATGGCAGATAGCACTCACACCCTTAATTCTAACACTGTGTCCTTGATCCCAGCATCACACACTCTAGATCAGCCAACTAAGTAAAGCCCCACCTATGATTGCATGAGACTCTGCAGGGACATCTAGATATAAGCCATAACATTCTGCCCTTAACTCCTCATGCACATTTCTTTATGCAAAAGGCATTCAATCCATCTCTAGGAGTTGCCAAAGTTCTAACAGTTTCAGCACTGCTGAAAACTTCCAAGTCCAAAGTCTCCTCTGAGGAGATTTAAGGTAAACTGAGCTACAAGCCCCCGTACAATCCAAAATAAAGTTAAACACTTCAATATACAATGGCACAAGATAGACATTTCCATTCCAAAAGGTACAAAGAGGAGGATAGGAAGGAATAGGAACAAAGCAAGTCCAAAATCCAGCAGGGTAAACATTTAAGTCCCATAGTTCCATGTCCAGTATCTCAATCTTTGGCAAGTTGTAAACTCTGAAGGTGGCTGCACCCCTATGGCACTGCTGGTGGTTGTAGCTCCCATGGCTTCTCTGGGGCTGGCTCTGCTGCCTCCTTGCAGATGACTCACATTCCACGCTTCTCTAAACTTCTGAGGTCTCCACTGCACCTTTGACTTGAACACTCACAGCTTCACACACTGCCCTCAGGGTCACGCTGCCTGCCTTCCAAGCCGCATTCTGAAATCTGGGTGGAATCCTTCCTGACCCCACAACTCTTACATTCTGCATGCACCTAAAACCACATGGATGATGCCAAGGTCTGCTGCCAGCTGGAACAGTAGCCAGGCTTCTGTCTTGGCTGCATGAGTAAAGTGCCTGTGAAGCAAATCCCAAGGAACTACTTGCCTAAGCTATTACTGTTCTGGAACATTGTTCACTGGGGCTAACTTTGCAAAGCAAAATCTTTCACTTTTGCAATTGTGAGATTGCAAAGGGTGGAGGCCTTGCTGGTTCTTGTGATGTTCTTCGGCCATCTTTTCTATTGTCGCCTTCTGAAATACTTGGGCCTTTTCTTGCTAGTCATTTCAGGGCCTGGTTTTTCCTCTGTTCCATCTTTGCAGGATGCTATTTTACTAAAGTTTCCTTTCTGGCCAAATTCAAAATGTTTTTAAGTCATTCTGCTGGGATCTTTGATTTTGATTCTCAACCTAAATCTGGCTAGAATTCCCCAACAGTAGCCATGCCATGGCCTCAACATTAATTGCTTTGAAATCTCTTCTGCCAGGTTCATTAGTATGCTGCCCTTAATTTCAGTCTCAGGCAGTCTCTGGACATGAGTAAAATGCAGACATATTTTCTGCCAAGGCATAAATACATCATCTTGAGTCCCACAGCCAATGCAGTCCTTACTCCTAGCAGGAACCTCCAGAGCCTGTCAGCATTCTAGTCTTCTAAACACTGATCAGAATTGTTCATCAAGTACAGCCTAAGGTGTACCAGGGCTGCTGTTTGAGCTGGCGTCTCCAAACCTTTCCAAACTCTTCCCATAAGCCAGTTCTAAAGGTTCCTGAACTACATGTTCATGTACAATAACAGTAACAACTCCACTTCTCTGGTACCAAATCTTAGTTACTTCTCTTGTTGCTGAGACAAAATACCCAACACCCCAAAATAAAGGAGGAAAATTTTACTGAGCTCTGTTGAGGTTTCAGTTCATGTAGGAGGCTCCAAAGCAGGGTGGCATGGCAGAGGGACATTGCAGAGGAGAAACAGTTAATGGCAGGCAGAAAGCAGCAAGTGACAAGCAATGACCTTTTTGTCTCTTATATTTTATCCAGGCTACCCACTGTTAGGGCGGGTACCACTCACACCTTTAATTCTCACATTCCATCCTTGATCCCAGCATCACATGCCCTATATCAGCCAGCTAAGTCCCACCTATGACTGCATGAGGCTTTGGGAGGATATCTAGATAGAATCCATAACATCATTATGTTGTACATTATGTCTCTAGACTTGTTTGTCCTCTGTATCTGCTCTGTATTTTCTGACCTACAACTCTCCATTTCCTGCCCACTGCCAGTAACCTTTCTCTACCATTTTGTTTACTATCTCTGTATATTTGAATTTCCCAATGACTTTATTCTTTAAAAGATAAATAATATCATTTTATATATTCACTAGTTTATACATTCATCCGTGGATGGACTCTTAGGTTTTTCCACACCTTGGCTATTTTAAATAGTGGCACGTGTATACAGAAGTGGTGTAGGTACCTTTACAAGGTGGTGATTTTCAGGTATGCCCATTTTTATTTAAGAAACTTTCATATTGTTTTCCATAATGACTGTACCAATTTATATTCCATCAGTAGTGTTTAAAAGTTCCCTTTTCTCCACACCTTTTGCAGCATTTATTGCCTTTCAGCCTTTTATAATAGTCATCCTAACAGGTGAGGAAGGTGGTATCTCCCAGTGGTTTTGATTTGCATTTTCTTTCTGGTTGACATTGAACATGTTTTCATATACCTACCTGTTGGCTATTTTGTGCCTTCTGCCACTTTTAACAAAACTTTTTCTTATTTTATATGGTTCTTTATACATTTTATATATTAACTCCTTATAGCATTGTTTGCAAGTATTTTCTCCCAGTTTGTAGTTTGTTGTGTACACCTTTTTAGTATGGCTAAACACTCCCTCAGTGTTTGGAGTGGATTGGTTCCAGCCCTTCCCTTGCAAATGAAAATCTGTCACTGTTCCAACTCCTTTTATCAACTGGTGTTATTATTTGCATAATTCAAATCATCCGTAGTTACACATTAATATAGGGTAAATTCTGTGTAAATAGTTATACTCTATTGTTCAGGGAATGATGACCTGGAAAAGTACATGTTCAGTACAAGATGATATTTTTTTCCCAAATATTTTTAATCTAGGATTGGTTGAATCTTTATGTGTAATGAATGATCAGAAGGCTAACTCAGGTCCCATTCAGTTTTTGTGGCCCAAGCTTTTGTATAATATCCAAATACTATGCAAAGGCCAGTGTCCAGGAACTTTTCTTGTGTTTGCTTCTGGGAATTTAATAGTTTGCTTTTGTCTTTTATTTAGGGATTGTAGACACTGAGCTCACTTTTGGTTGTGGTGTGCAAGGGTCTATTTTATCCCTTTTGCATGTGGAAATCTGTGTTCCCAGTGTAATTTTTTTTAATAGCAAGTTTCATTGAAGGTAGGAAAAGAAACAGGCTCTGCAGATCGAGTTTGGTCCAAGTAAAAGTAGAAAAGGAGTATTCTGTACAGCGCGCACGCGCGTGTGTGTGTATGTTGGAGGGCACCATGTAAGAGAACACAGTGGCCTCCCAGCATCACTTTTTGGAAAGATCTTCTCCTTGTATGCTCTTGGTTCCCGTGTTAAACATCATTTGACTATGTTTGGTTTTATTTCTGGACTCTTGCCCACTGGTCCATGTGGTTTTTATGCCAATACTACAGTGTTTTACTATAAGTTTGTACCATTTTAGTATTTGAGGTGATGTCTCACTATGTAGTCCAGGTTGGACTTGAATTCCTGGGCTCAACTGTCTCAGTCTTCCAAGTGAGTTGGGTCTACACACTTGTATCAATCACACTTATATTTTCAACAAGAAAATGTGATGCCTCCAATTTTCCTTTCTTGGAATTGCTTTGATTATTCAGAATCTATTATGTTCTGTGTGAACTGTAGGATTTTTTTCTATGAAGAATGCCAATTGGGATTTTGATAGGGATTGCTGTGTATATTGCTTTGTTTTGTGAATGTTTTAACAGTATTCTTCTAATTCATATGCACAGGGTAATTTTCCATTTGTTTGTCTCTTCAAATTTGTGTCTTCAATTTCATCAGTTGTAGTTTTTCACTATATAGATTTTTTTTTTGTACCAGGGATTGAACTTGAGTCCTTGCACTTGCGAGGCAGGCTGTAGAACCACTGAGCTAAATCCCTGGCTTTGTTATGTAGTTTTAAGTACCACCTCAATTGAATGTACTCCTAAGTATTTTGTTTTTTGATGCTATCATATGGGATTATTTTTTTGATTTTTTTTTCAGTTAGATTGTTACTTGTATGTAAAAATGCTACTACTTTTGTACCTTGCAACTTTACTTAATTCATTTATCAGTTGTAATACTTTTCTGTGGAACGTCTCTGGGTTTTAAAAAATATATTACCCAGGTTTACTTTCTGTGGAAATGTTTAAATCAAAATACTGGACAGAATAAACTCTGTACCTTACTGTGTACATACACATAATGAAATTAATGTGTGTGCATGAATATATAAAGCAACAGTTTTGAGAAACAACTTATCCTTACTATTTGCAACATACTATGTCACTTTCTATCTTTTTATAATAAAATGTGAAGCATGACCCCAAGGTTGCAATTACCAATTAGGAAAACCTCATCCTAAGTAAGAAGTTTCTCTCAAATAACAACTATACATCTTCTGATTATTGTTTTAATGATTAAGACAATTCAGCCAAAATTACTTACACTTCCTGCCACTTTTAACAGTACTGAAAAAAATGTTAGTTAAAGAATGACAGACATAAAGAGTTGCAGAAAATAAATGATAAATTCTTATTTATTGAAAGACATCCAGTTGAGAAATAGAGAAATAACTGTTAGGTAAACTTATATGGCACATGATTAAGTTCCACTACATCTTATTTCTGTATTATGCTTTCTGTCCAGAGGATTATATTCATGCAGCAGTGGTAGGAAGCATTTTTTATATCCATCCTCTTGATACAGCAATGTGGTATCTGAAGCATTTTAGTTGGAGTCATTTTCTACCATCTCAGTATGCAACACTCTAGAGTTAAGGAATCAAGTCTAAGTCTAGGAAATGTGGACCAATTACGATATACAAAACTCATATATATATATATATATATATGTATATGTATATGTATATAAATCCAGTAGTCGTACCTGGCTTTTTACTTGTCTTTGTTTTGAAATTCTGCATCATTATGGCTTGTCCCAAGCACAATATCCCAATCCATGGGATTCCAGGTGATGAAATATCACAGATGCAGCATGGTTTGCTTTTGCACATTGTTCAGGAGTCCACAGATTTTTCTGAAGGCTCTTTTTTCTCTTCTGTAGTGTCATTAAGTATTTCATCAGGGATATTAGCCATTGTATGTGTAGACTGAGGAGTTACTGTGTGTCCAAACCCTTGGTAGTGACCCATGGGTGAAGGTGGCATAGAAGAGGCAATGGAAATTGCATCTTGAGATGATGAAGATAATAAGCTTGTATGTTCATTTTGATCTTGATCCTCAGGAAAAAATTTCTTCCTAGCATGTCCCCTGACTGTCCGTCCTGTAAAGTAAAAGCTTTCCACATTAAGCAAGCTAGTTTTTATTTTTTTATTTTTTAGTTATTTTTGAGACAGGGTCTCACTATGTAGCCCAGGCTGGTCTCGAACTCATAGCAATCCTCTTGCCTCAGCCTCCTGAGTGCTGGGATTACAGGCTTGCGCCACCACGCCTGGCAGTAAGCTAGTTTTTAAGTAACCATTCTAATAATAGATAAATTAACCCTTCTAAATAATAAGCTCCCCACTTTCCCATTCTCCCCTAAATCTGAAGTGCTGTACCATAGTATTGCTCTAAACAGCTTTTTCATTTCTTATATAACTAATAAATGGCCTTAGTGGAAGAAATAAAATAACCACTTATTTGGAAGAATTAAATGGCTGATACTCACCAACATTCCTTACTTGTTCAGAAATATCATCTGCGATATCTGAAACATCCCACATGGCAAGAAAAGAATCAAAACATGAGCCCTCTTCTGCTTCTTGGACATATGGTTTGTAAGAAAATGTGTAATGATGAGCAATTGCAGCCAGGAACATCTCAATACAGATAATAAAGTCCTGTAACAACAAAAAATAGCAGCCATCTTTGGGCTTGAATCTAATTTTCTAAGTGGCTCTTTCTCCAAGTACTTTTCAAAAGTATTTGTTTCAATAGCTGTTTCTTTTCTTTTTCTCAAAATTATTTTTTTACTTTTTCAAAAAGGGACAAAATTTGAATCTCTTTTATACTACCCAAATCAAGTATTTCTCGGCCAAGTACACTATTCTCAATCCACCAAGAAACTAAGGAAAAAAGCACAAAGAGAAGCGGACTACAAAGACCCACATCCAGGTTTGATCTGGTTCTGTTAGCAGTCAGTGCTGAAGGCCAGTTTCTCCAGGACTCCTGCTTCCTTGCCCGGAGGGTGAGGTTAATAGTTGCAGCCCCACAGCCTATTAGGTTGCATGGCGAAGGTAGGTAAAAAATGTATAACAAATACTGAAGCTCTGTTGGGGTCAGAGACAGTGGGGCTCACCTGCAGTCCTGTGGCCACCTCCTCTACAGTCTGCCACTCCCACGTATGCTTCTCAGAAATAACGCCAACTTTTACCAGCAAAGCAATGACCACTGCTTGCCTATATGTTGGGAAAAGGTAAACGCCACATCTACATCAAGCATAAAATAAGCAGTTGTTTTAAAAATATGTCATTTAAAAAAGTTAAAACCCCAGTGCAACCTGCACACTACCATGCTACCTTCACAGCCTATACCTAAAGAAACTGAGTCCACGTTAAATACATGCACTTGCCTCACAAACGCACTCTTCTAATATGGTTTCATCAGAGGAATCTTGGTTATGGATTCCCAGAACTCTGTACTGAACTATGTATCTTTGTTTTGAAAGCACACATAAATAATTACAGTTCACATTGTTCTCATACATAGACAATGCCTAACACTCTGTACTGGGGGTATTTAAAATGAAATCAGGATCAATACTCAAATGTTGTTTGCATTTTTATTAATTATTCAGAGAATTAAAAAAACAACAAATTTTGAAACCTGTCTTGTATAAACTATTGGAGCTACAGACAAACTCAGGATTTGACTCCAAGACAGGAAGTCATGTTGAGTATTGCAAGCAAATCTATGAATAATGCCCCACGTTCTTTAAAGAGAAAAAAAATTCTTGGGCCGGGATTTGGCTCAGTGATTCCGCCCCCTGCCTCACAAGTACAAGGGCCTGAATTTGATGCCCCCCTGAAAAAAAAATCTTTTTGTGATACTAGGAATTGAACCCAGGGCCTCCATGCCCAGGCAAGTTTTATTTTTTAAGACAGGGTCTCACTAAGTTGTCCAGGCAGCCTCAAACTTGGAGTCCTCCTGCATAGCTGGGATTGTGTGCCACCACACCCAGCTCCATGTTAATTTCAACAGCTTTCAGAAACTTGGAAGAACATTTACTTCAATGCTACTTTAAAAATGAAAAATTAGGAAAAATCCAGATATAAAAGGGTGGTTAACAAGTTATATCTAAACAACAGAATACTAAACAAAACAAAAATCCCAAACAAAATTTTATTTCTCTTCACTGACAAAAGGACTGTAATTATAATACAGAGAACATATATTGGAGTTCTGTAAGTTTTATACTATAAAATTAATTCTGTGCAGTTTACATAGGACACATGTACATCAAAACGTTAATCATTCTTTCTGGCAGTGGGAGTTCATGAATTTTTTCCTTTCCTTTTTTAGTATTCTATTTTGTTAAATTTGGTGTATCTATTTTAGTTGTTTCTAGAACCCCCTCTAATCTTCTCTTTTTACTAAGCTGAAATAATGTATCATTTTGTCTTGGGGGGTGTTAAAAGAATATTTTCTGATAAACACTTTCCTTATCATTAAATATACTATATCATGTTTTCTTCCAAACTGCATAGTATTCTATTACGATAGGACCTTGATTCATTCTGATAATTAGGTTATGTAAAAAAAATTTAATGCAGTGTGGCATGATCATCTGATTATTCCTTTATGGAAATCCTAAAAGGGCTAAAAGGATTCAACTTGTTTTAAAAAGTACGCAGAGACATTTTCTGCATTAACAAAACCAACAGTTTCATTGCCTTTTAGAAAAATGAGAACATTTAAGGGAAGGCAAACACTTACCAAAAAGAAACAAAAACCACCAATTTTACACACAGAAATTTGCCAACAGGGTGGATTGGACTCAGTTCTTCCTTTAGTACTTTGTAAAATAACAGAAGGCAGTACATGGCAAACTGCAAAGAAAGTTAACATTTCAACTTCTTTAGTAAGAATAACTAAAGTAATATTAAAATTATAAATCAGACTTGCTAGAGTAATGCTTTAGGCAAATTTTTCTAGGCTTTATTGTTCTATTTGTAGATCAACAACAGGCTTTTAACATTTGCTGTAGATGAATATGTACACTATGAAAGTTCTCAAGAGACATGGAACAACTTCCCTGAAAATACTATGTGTTCACTTACTGGGGTTCATAAAGAGAACAAGAAATAAGTGACAGACATATATGAAAAAAAAGGCTCTGGTTCAGCCAAAATAAAAAAATCTATAATGTCTTTAAATACAAATATGCACCAGTATTTTTTCAAGGGTTTAGCCTGTCTGTTTTACGTAACATTGTATATATTAAGGCAACACCTTAAACATATAGAAATCCAATAAAATTGTAACCATGAAATTGGAAAATAAAAAATCAAAAATAATTTTTCTTTAGAGTGGTATGTTAGTCTAAGTGAATTTATTTTCTAAAGTACATGCTCAAAACTCAATTTAGAACTCAATTACAACAATGTAGTATAGTATTTGAATAGCAGAAACATTTTCCTAAAGTTTACATTTTCCATAAAAATAATAAAATGTTCACTTAACATATTCAGACTATGAAAGCAATAAAGGAAAGTTACTCAGACTATCAACCATCTATATATGCTTGTATTTTTGTTTTTACAGAGCTGCAGGTGGATCCCAGGATTTGAACATACTAAACAAGCTCTCTACACTGAGCTACACCCTCAGCTATAAGCTGATTTTTAAAATGCTTTTACAGTCAAAGCAAATACATTTGATCATTTCTTTAGAATAATCCCAGCACTTGGGAGGCTAAGGCAAGAGGATTGCTACAAGTCTGAGGCCAGCCTTGGCTACAAAGTGAGTTCAGACCAACCTGAACTACATATAGTGAGCTCCTGTCTCAAAAAGCAAAAATAACAACAACAACAAAAGAATACTTGCCCAGAAAAAGAATTATTGGTCACAAAGAAAGTGACTACATGGAAAGGCTTTGGATAGCTGGCCATTGTTTTTATTAAAAAGCTCTAATGTCATGTACTGCATCTAAATTACTATTCTGCTGAAAGCATTAACCAAAGATTTTAAATGTGTGCACTTTAAATCCAGAGGATCAAATAGTTCTACCTTCAGAACATTTCAGTTTCTAGAACAGTGGTGGTCTTAATTTCCTTGGATTCCAACTATATGATGTTGGAGAATTTTATTATCTTATTATTTAAACCTGGACCTTTATACACCGATTAAACAGCTTCTCTTATGGAATATGCCCAGTGTGTGTGTTTTTCTTCTTGTTATTTAGGGAGCACTGCTTTTATTTATGATACACCCACAAGGCTATGCAATGAGAATCAGAGAGAAATAACAAACACAATCAACAGGTCAGAGTATGAGTCATCAAACAACAAAGATGTCACTGTATAAAGGTATGTATAGATTTTTATTTCTCTGTTTAAATTAAATTTCAATTTTAAAAAGAAGCAATCAAGCTTTATTCCAAGAAACTATACCTAAAAATACTTCATTATAGAGATCAACTTATAATTATGAAGAGTATTTACTTACCAATTGTGACATATTATTTATTATGACCAAATAAGTCCAAGCATTTGAAAAGCTAAAATTTCCTTCATCATATATACCGAGCAGCTCACAGATTCTATAAAACATGGTAAAATGGGACAACTTTATGACTAACTAAATCATGTATTTTAAAGTAGAGTGACAGTTTAGAAGTCAGTTTATCTGAATTACTGTAGAACCACTTGGCTTTGAATCAAAATTAAAACAAAAATATTTTTCTGGAAATGCTACCACAATTATTCTGCTAACTTGAAGGAAATACAAAAATAAGACCAATACATTGAAATAGAGTAATCATTAACTTCAAAAAAGCTATACCTAATTTTGAAAATGTTGACTGTTAAACATGTATGTTTATAAGTATGGCTCAGTTTTCACCTCTTAAATTATCTTACAGGTAAATATGAACAGCTAGTCCCTTCAAGTGAATTTCAGTTAGTGTTAAATGGTATGCTCATCCAGTTTTTAAACTGCAGAGAAATAAAGCACATTTTCATAAAGAGATGTATTAGCCTTACTTAGTTGGCTAAATAATTCCTTGCTGAAAGAAAATATATAAAGAATTGGATTATTCTTTTATTTTTTTTTTTTGGTACCAGGGATTGAACTCGGGTCCTTGCGCTTACAAGGCAGGCCACTGAACCACAAAGCTAAATCCCTGGCCCTGGATTGTTCTTTTACCTGTATTTCTTTCTGTCTTTCCTTTGTGAGCACACAGAATGTTAGTAAGGACTAACAGATAAAATATACAATCTACTCACTTTAGTTACTTGATCTTCAATTTTTAGGAAATAATTTCATCAGGTAACTTATTAAATCCCATGTTTACCTCAAGTTCTAAAAATCTTGACAATATTTAATGAAAAATATGACGTTTTTTGGATAATGCTCCCAATATGATCTAATTTAACTATGTGCAAAACAAATTCATGTAATCCTCCTACAGATGCATACTTTAACCTTATGCAGTAAAGAAATGTTCACACTTGAAAAAGCACCTTTTTCAAGTGTTTCATGGCATACTCTAGAGGACGTAAATCCTGTGGTGATTTTTTGCCTGTTAACAGTCATTTATCTTAGTAGAGTAACATTTTTATATATGTGATTTTTACAGCAGACTAAGCTTGTTTTGTATTGTTTTTCTGCTCAGCTGTTTCTAACTAAGGGTAACAAGGCTCTGAAATCTGTGTACTTACAAAGCGACGATGGTGGTGACCGGTCTGACCACTGTGTACTGCAGCACACCCAGTTTGCAACGAAACAGCAACACTCTGCAAAAGAAACAGAACAGCATTTCACTGCTTATGTAGATAGCATCCAAACATCCTCAAAGCCTCCAAATTAAAATCACTTTGATAAATGACACCATATCATATTTAATTCCTTCACTTTAGTCATCCTGAATGGCACTAAGGGAAGGACGTAGACGGCCGCAGATAAGCTAAATACCATTTAAAATATTTGACAAGGACATTATCTGAACGATCTCCCTTTCCCTGTAGTCTGGAGTTCCAGAACAGTGCCACGCAGAACAGTTCCACAAAAGGATCAGGAATGGGTCCTTGCTACAATTCGCATGTGAAATGTTTTCCAAGAGCCCATTGTTAAAGGCTTGGTTCTCAAAGGCAAGAAAACCCCTTTTGTATTATGGGTACACTGCTATGTCACATTATTAAGTCAGCATTTTTCAAAATTCAAGCCTCATTTAAAAATGAACCCAACCCACACAGACTTAACAAGAATGCATGCAATAGTTAGGGACAAATCTGAGCACAGGCACAGAACATGAGAATTTTGACCAGTATCATTTATAAAAGACTGAGTTTTAGCCGATCACTAATTGAGAGCCAGTCTGAAGAGGCAGCTAGAGCCTCATCTCAGGCTTTTTAAATTTTCTTTTTTTTTTTCAGGTTTTTTATTAATAGAAGACATTAAAGCCAGGCTGCGACCGACACCATCTTATATATGAGGCTACTGCAATCTCTTATTCCCCACTTCCAATCTGTCCACACAGAACACATAATTATTGAAAATGAACTTTGGACGTCAGTTCTTTTTATATCATCCTATAGTGGCTTCTCTTTTGAGGGGTCTTTAACGGCCACACTTTACACAAGTTCCTTCAAGCCCTCTTCTTGAGGAGACCTCGTGCTTGGGCACCGTCTCTGTTCTGCTTAAAGCCGATCTAGGCCAGGAATCCTGAGTCACTCCCTCTCCCCTTGACAGGGGCGCCCCTGCACCAATCGAGTCTGTCACCCTCTCCCTGGATGTCCCAGCCCAAGGCTGCCTTTTACCAAGAACCCTATGGGTCAGGCCAGCAAGGTTGCTCCTCCCGTGTCTCCTCTTAGAAACCTTGCATCCACTGACCCCTCCATCTGCTCTTATCCTCAAATCCCCATTCGCCCTGGGATTTGGAATTGAACACAGCACTTCCTGCGGAGTATTTCCTCCAGATCCCCAGTCTAGAGTTTATCCTTACTATGGTCTCTCATGCTCTCCTGTTTTTTCTTTCATTGCACTTCCGGAAGTAGCTGTTCATATCTTCATTAACTTCTGACCCTGCTACTCATACTGAGTTCTTGAGGTCTGTCTGTTTTATGCTCCATACTGTGTCTATAGTAGCTATTTTTTTTTTAAGCCAGGTAATTCCTTCTTAGCTCAAGCAGGTAAGAACAATGAGAAGAATGCCACACACATGGCTCTGCACCTCGTGGGAGCAGTGCAGCCCTCCCCATGTTTATGTCTAAGCCGATCACTGTGCCTCCACAGCATTCCATCCTCCTTACCTTACGACTCCCCCACTCCCCAGCTGTCAGTGGTCAAGTTCTATTGGTTCTTCAGTTACATTTTCTTATTATCTTTCTTTCTATTCCAATTTCATCCTCCTTTTTCAGCTTATTTCGAAATGGACTATTAGAACTTCCTAATATTCCCTTGCTGAAACATACTCGGTGGTGCCTATGTGTAATAAATGCAATCTTAAACCTCAATTTACATTTCCATGTAAAGTCTAAATAAATAACATAGGCTTTATTTTACTGTCTACATGAACATGTAATAGGCAAACTAAATACGTTACTACACTGTGATCTGTTGCTCCTATTTCCTACCATTTGTTTTTCTTCCCACCTAGATCATCATCCCCCTGCCTTTCAACTAGTTTGTGATCTTGCATAAGATTTGAAGATCTTGATTCCCAAATGTTAAAAGGAATTGCGAGGTGATTTTAAGGTTTTCTCTTGCAGTGAATTGTTGAGCTTTTAAACTTGCATGAACAATGTAAAAAAACTAACATGTAGGTTATAAAAATGTGTTTTGTTAGCCTTCAGATGTGACTGTGAACTGCATTAGGGTATGGATTCAGTCTTATTCTTTTGCCCTGCTCGGCCTTGCAGAGAACTGATAAAATAAAACTAAAATAGAAAAGAATTAAAATCAAACATACTTACTCTCCCATAGCCCATGGTGGACAGCAACATAAAGGAGGGAAATGTTTCTGTGGATCTTTGGCTTCAAGGATTAATACCAGATTTGGATATCGATTAGTTAGATAATTGGTAAGAAATATCATAAAGTTGTAAATGACATAAGCTTCATAGCATTCTCTGCAGGTATCCACATATATTGCAATCCTGGGATATTTCAAAGCTACCCACTATGAAAAAGCACAGAAGTTAAAATAGTTGAAGCTTGGATAAAATTACCACTCCAATTCATGGTATACGCAGAATAAGCTATTTAGAAATCTTGTCACATACTTACATTAAGTGCTGTATAATTCATCATTATAATGGCTACCAGATAATCTGTGAGATGTGTGTATGTGTTTCTGGGGTTCAAATGCAACATGCCAAGCACATGCTCTACCACTGAGTTACATCCCAGGCCCTAAGAAACTTAATTTTTAAAAGCAATAGATGTGAGTTCTGAAATACAATCTGAAAATTTTCTTGATATGCGCATAGAAAATGTTGCTCCAGACATTTTCTTTATACCTAATCAATTTAGACCAGTAGCTATAACCACTGGGTAATTAAAAAATTTCTTTGGGTCAAATGGAAGATTTAATAAACAAAAAGGGTTATGATGTACAGTCAACCATCTGTATCTAGAATCTGTGGATTCAACCAAACCTGGATCAAAAATATTTGCAACAAAGAAATGAAAAACCCTCCATCTGTACTAAACATGTACCAATCTTTGGGGTCACCATTCCCTCAGTGGTAACAACTACATACACAGCATTTGCACTGGGTCAGGTGTTACAGGTCCTCTAGAGAGGACTCGATGTGCAGAGAGCATGAAGGTACATGGAAGGGAGCGTGTAGGTTACATGCCAACACTACCTATTTTACATCAAGAAGTTGAACATCAGCAGATTTGCTATCTCTGAGAGGTCTTGGAACCAATCCTCTGTGGATACCACAGGACAACTGTAATTTAATATATTACATTCCTTAAAGGACTAAGAGCTACTAATCTGAAAGTTTAAAAAGTTAAACCAAGAGTTACAGATTTTTCAAAATTTAAAATATGTCCAGTTATCATTTTCTATTATCATCTTTATCTTATCAACATGAAAAGCAAGTCAACTTTTTTTTGTTTTTATTAAACTCATTTTCAATAATATACTTTCATTACCTTCAGCATTCTATAACAAGCAGTTAGCATCATCAAACAAATTCTGTTAATGAAATAAATGAAACATACTTACACTATCTAAACTGTATATGGGTACCATCCATAGAACCCTGGAAGAGCAAAGAATAAATTTTGAACATTTTATATTTATGACAGAAGCTGAGATAACATTAGTAGAGTCGAAATAGAAGATGGACCTTATGATTGGCTTTTGCAGCTCAGGTTGCGTGTAATGCACGAGATGTTGTAGGATTCCCCATAGCGATATGGGTATCGTCAGCAGCAAAAAGATTCCTGCAATAAACCAAGCCTTGGTGTGTATTCCAACCTTCAGAGACAAAAGAACACACCAGTAGAGATCATGCTATTGTAACTGAAGAGTTCAATAAAATACATTTACTTCTTAAATATTCATTTGATTACAAATGAAGGTCAATATTTTCTAAATGATTAATGGCTATTTTATCGTCAAAATAAATAGCCTATTTGTGTTTTCTGGAGGGAGGGGGCATATTTTTCCTCAAAGGGTTGAGCATTTTCCCTCATCAAGCCTTTTATAACAGCTTTTTATACATTAACAGTATTTACATCATGCCACTCTCCCAGCTTATTCTTTGCCTTTTTTTCATTATGATTGGAGGTATACAGAAGCTTTGATATTTTCTGCAAGTTAAATCTCATTAATATTAATGGTTTATTCCTTTACTTCCATGCACACAAAGTTAAAAATCTACCAACATTTTCTTCCAATGTTATTGTAAAGCACCCCCCCACACACACACACTGGAGATTGGACTCGGGGCCTTTACCCTTAGCTACACTCCAGCCCTTTTTTAAAATTTTGAGATAGGGGTCTCACTAAGTCACTATATTGTCCAGACTGGGCTCGAACTTGTGATCTTCCTGTCTCAACTTCCCAGAGTACTTGGATTACAGGCTGTCCCCACCATTCCTCACTTTTACTGGTAAGCATTTTAGTAAACTGTCACATGAAAACAACAATGAACAATGAGGATTATTGGTCTAAGTTCTTTACATCAGTTCTCTCTTAACTCTCAGTTGATAACTAGGCTACACTACTGTCCAAAAAACTGGAATATATGCTACTTCTCTTATATATAAAGTATCAACTTAGGGTAGTCATTTAAAAAGTCCTTAATATCTTTAGTAGGTAAATACCTGATCAATACTGTAAGAGTTCATTTTCTAAAAATACATTTTGAGTCATCTTAAAATACAGCTGAAGTAAGCCACTCGATTTCTGGTAAAACAAATTTATCTGAACCTCTGTTCTTTTCTGGGGGCTCCAGGGAATGAACTTCATACTAACTTGTAATCCTGCCTTAAAAAGAGTGAATTCTCTCTCTTTGTTTTTTTCCCCAAGGGAAAAATGGTATTTACTTTTGGTATTTATAGGGTTTGTGCAGTTAAAATTAAGATAGAACTGAAGTCTATAATTTTAGCTTCACTGTTTGGAGCAAGATTTTTCCCTCACTTGGAGCCAAAGATTAAAGACATAGAAAACAAAAATATGGATAACAAATGTATTTTTACAACAATAAATTTCTACATTACATGCATAGAAAAGCAGACACATAGAGGTGAAGAATCCAAATAGAAAGTTGGGCACTCATTTTCCAGGCCTTTTTGCCTTCCTCAATTTCATTTAAAATAGAATACTCACATTAAAAAAAAACAACAATTGACATTCAACAATGATCTCAGAAAATAACAAGCACATTCTAGTTTCTCCAGTAAAATGCGATCCTTAAGAACAGAAATGCCAAGTAGTGTTAATGTCCACATTTGTTTTTAGTGATTGTCTTGGTGCCAAAAAGTAGAGCTGGACAGTAAATTTAAAAGAGAAGGGCGGGGGATTTAGCTCAGTGGTTCTGCCACCTGCCTTGGAAGCACACGGTCCCAAGTTTGATCCCTGGTACCAAAAAAAAAAAAAAAAATTATTTCTACAATAAAGGGCCTAAAATGACCACAGTTCTGTCAGGGAGCTTGTAAAATAAGTGCTTCTCAGTAGTTTTCATTAGCTCAGTGTTTATTATACATTCTTCATCATGCATGTTTATAAAGTATATATTTTGGTAGTAAGTATTTATCATGGGTCTGTATTACTTTCCCAATGTCACAATATGAAAATGACATAAAAAATATACAAGGAACTTTTTGCAAAGCCTTTTTGATTTGGTTAAGAGCTAATTTCAAAAGTAAAAACAACAAAGTCAAACTAGAAACCTTTAATTTGGGAAGCTAGTTAAAAGCTAACAAAATTCAATACATGGGTTTCAAAGTAGTTAATCTGATCCAGTTAATTGCAATATCTGAACAGCAGATCAGTCTTCAATAACAGAATTACCTAACTTTCAGGGGATTGGTGAATATTTGCAAAACAACACTCTTCTAAGCCGATACATAAAAATACTGCGACTATTTTGTAGCGTCATTTGAAGACCACAAACAAGAACTCCTTTGTTTTCTCTACAAATCTGTAGACCTAATAGCTTTGAGTGCCTGTCAGAATCTTAAACCCTTTTGAATCTCGAATGCTACTTTTTACCACGAGTTCCAAATGTGGAAATTTTATATTTGTGATTGCTTCTAAAATTAAGAAATAACACCTTAAGGTTCTAGATTCTAGCACTGCTGAAAATTATGTCCAAAGACTGGGCTCATTACACGATGGCATTTTCAGATACCAAGCCTGGGGGTCTGGAGTAGAAATGCAGGAGTGAGTGTCTCTTCCCCACACTTAGGAGAAAGGGTAGAGACTGTGCAGGGTCCCCTTACCTCCAGTTTCTGCAGTTCCCACACGCACAGGGGAACCGCAACGACTATGGCCACCAGGTAGATGACCACAGCTAAAGGTCGAATCCACTGCCTCCAGTTCCTCCAGGTACACGTGCAGGGCATGTTTCCTCATAAATCAGCTCCTAGTATCAAGGAAAAGGAGCTCGAAGATGATTGTAATGGGGGAGTCCTGACCTCTGTTTTTTTTTTTCAACTCGCATACTACGGAGAAATTGCCGGTGGGAAACTTTACCAACAGCTTGTGTCGCCTTCTCGGCCGAAGCTGTACTTTCTGCGGCTGTATCTGCGGCCACTCAGGGTGCTACCGAGCAGCATCCTTTCTTTCTCAACCCACATCTATCAGATCGTACGGCTGGGGAATCCCGGGGCGGGGCCGCTACTCTCACCTGGGGAATCACTTAGAGATCCTCTTGTACCATGGCCTAGAAAAGACTGGCGCTGACCGAGACCGGCCTCAAGCGACCCTGAACAGTTCGGTTCTGCCCCGAAGCTCCTGCTTGCTTTCTTTTCTCTTTGGGGATCGAGCTTCCTGCCTTCTGCACGCGCAGGCGCCTCTTCGTCTACTCTGCAGAATAGCTAAGCCTCTGGGATTTCCTCACTAGCTCGCACCGGACAAGCTCTACTGCGGCAACCAAGGCCAAAGCTGGACTGTAGGTTCTCTTCCGCTTCCGCCTTTGCTGTCTGAAGCAGGTGATTCGTCCTCGGCCAGGACCTGGGACCGCCCCATCCGCTTGCTTTCCCCCCCTATGATTGGTCACTCGCGAGGTTAGTAGAAAGAAAGACGATGGGAGGGTGTGGGAGTTGCTGCGGGTCCTCTTCTGGTGTGAGAAGGAATCCAGCTGGAATTCGAAGACTTCTGCTTGGTTTGCAGCCGTGCTAGAATCTAGAACCTTAAAGGAGTTATTTCTTAATTTTAAAAGCAATCGCAAATACGAAATTTCCACATTTGGAATTTGTATTAAAAAGTAGCATTCAGGGTTGAGAATTTAGCTCAGTGGTTCGCCCGCCTGCTTAGCAAGCGCAAGGTCGCCAGTTTGATCCCCAGAACCAAAAAACAAAAGGCATTCATTTGAGATTCAAAAGGGTTTAACATTGTGACAGATAGTTTATGCACTCAAAGTTGTTAGGTGTACAGATTTGTAGAGAAAACAAATGACAAATTGGCTTTTAAAGACTATGTGAACCAATAGAGCAAATAAAAATCTATTTTCTCAGATATACAAATGTGTCCTATGGTATTGTAGTGGATTGACTAATGATCAACTTACAGCTTCCAGCTGAACTGAATCAGCGTGTTCTGGGCGTGGAGGATCCACCTGAGGATTGTTACCAACAGCCATAAAAAGGGAACTGGAGGGGAAGACCTTGCCCTGTTGATTTTCTAGGAGAAGCTTGCTGTGGATGGTTTTCCTGAGGCGAACTGAGCTGTTCTTTGCGGGACCTCGCTGTCCCTGAGAATGGCTGCTACTTTCGTCAGGGGAGCTCTGATCTTTATGTAAGACCTAAAGTCTCACTTCTACTCCACGGAGCGTGGACAGCTGAAAGGCCTCCACGAGGCTGGGCCCTAACACCCAGCGAGGCTCTGGGAACACGACAGAGAACCGAGAAACACAGGAAGGAACACACCAGCCTAGATGGTAAAAGACCTTTATTAGTCTGGCCAGACGGCACTCCCGGAACCAGGTGGCTCAGAGAGGCAACTGCTCAGGGGCTGAGGTATTTTTTATAAGGTTTTACTAAACAAAGAGTCAGGGAATTTATAGAACAAGATTGTAAACACATTGCTTATCTTATGTAGGAAATGTTCTAGGGACACCTTTTGTCAAACCATTTGCCCTGGGCGGGCTGTTAACCAAGGTAGCAATTAGCATATGAAGAAGCACAGTCTGGCCTATTAGCATGGAGTCCCTTTGTGAAGACTGGTGGAAAGGATTGTAAGCACAGTAAGGGGGGCAGGGGGTTAGTTTCCTGCTATCCCTTAGGGGGTCTGGTTTATGACATGTCTGGCATCCTGCGTTGGTTACACAGACTCAGGATGCCCTGTCTTGATAAAAGTCCTAAGACATTACCTTTGTTTACTCATACCAAGTTTACATACACTTCCTCTAATCTTATCTGTAGATAGGAGGGAGCGGAGTAGATTGGAATGTACTTTGTTATATGCAGACTCTCTAGGGCCTACACAGCGGTTGGGGTCCTACACTTTACCCTGAGTGAGCATCAGTTCCTGGCTCCAATGTGGATCCCTCAGCTTAGTGACACAAATCCTTCCTCTCAGGAGCATAGATTTTCTGTCTTCCCCACTGACCTTTGGGCATTCCAGGTCCAGATCCTCAGTACAGACAAGCAAGCATGAGACATGGCCGTGCGCTCTAGGCCACTGGCTGGACTCGAGGAGGACATTGCCTTGGACTCTAAGCTTTCAGCTGGACTTGTATGGGAAACTGCTGGGATCCAGGCCCTCAGTTGAATGTTTTGGGCTTCGTGTGTGTGCTTAATCTCTTGCAATCCTTGCATTTGACTGTGTGGGTAATTATCACAAAATAACCTTATAAGGTATGTGTCCTGTATTTAATGTATCCCCTCACTCAATCCTGCTGACTGCAAGTATAATTGTCATTTTCTGGGAACAGTCACTCTACTTACGTACTTTACTTACATTATATTAGTTTAATAATCATTAAATATGAAAATTTTAACATGTTCATGTTAAAAATGAATTTCAATGATTTGGAATTATTTTGTGTGTATTTCATATCTGTTCATTTGGTCTTATTGTTCAGAGGTGGCCTATGAGCTAAGAACTGTTTTCACATTCTTTTTTTAAAAATTGTGGCAAAATATACAGAGTTCACAAAAAAATGATTACACATCTCAGGGAGAGAAAAACTTGTATAAGGTGTACGTTCTCCTGATTTAACACCTGCAGACTTTTATCTCTGATGGACTCTAAAGGATGTCAAATGTCGAAGAAAACCCACTACATTAGTGGCCCTTAGAGAAGAAATTGAAATGCATGTGCAGCAATCTCAATGGACACTTTGACCAAGGTTATCCAAGCAGCAGTTTTCCACACCAATAAATGTCACTACAATAAATGGCCACTGCTTTGGGTTCCTCTTGCAATTATAGAGGCTAAAGGTAACTTGCATTAATCTCATCATGCCTCGATAAATTTGTATTGAAATATTTAAACAAGTTTTTCTTTTCCTGAAATATGTGTACATTTTTGGGCTGACTGTATATAAAGAAATCTATCATTTTAAGTGTATAATTCATATATTCTCGTTGTGTAACATCATTACCATCTCCAGGAATATTTCATCACACCAAACACATTTTATGTATTAAGCAGTAACTTCCTGCTAACCTCTACTCCCCGAATCCTGGAAACCCTTATTCTATTTTCTGTACCTGAGTTTGACTATTCATTATCTGTCCTTTTATGTCTGACTTATTTGACTTAGTGTAATGCTTTCAAGGTTTAACCATGCTGTAACATATATCCGAATTCCTTTTCAGTTGGAGGCCCTTGCTTTTGTTTTTATTCTGTTTTCTTAATCCTCCTCTGAGTTTTGTTCTGGAACCTCAGCATGTTGCTAAGATGAAAGTTTCTAAACTTTCTTGTTTCATGGGGCCCTTAGACTCTCAGTGATTGTGTTCATGGTGTCCTTCAGTCAAAGAAACAGTGAATAGTTCCATTTACTAAGTAATTAGTTTCAACCAGCCTATACAGACATTAACTCATAATGTGATAGATATTTCTGTTTATGTAAAAAAATTGTCAAAAATTTAGAATATCTCAGGGTGTTTCTGCGAGCTCCATCAATCTGTGGCTATGTAGCACACACCTCCAGAAGTATTATCCTAGGGTTTTAGCCCTCTCTATTTTGCCTGGACCTGGGTTTGTCCTTGGTCTTGCTTCTTATTTTATCCCAGATACTGTTCCCTACACTTTTAGGCTTGTTTAGATAATTTCGGTGCCTTTATTTGCTTTATAGATTTAATTTTTACATTTTAAAATTCAGGTTTATTCCCTCATTATATCTACTTTTACATTGGGATTTCTTTATACATCTATTTTTGGCTTAAACTACTGAGATAAATTTTAAATGAATAGAACATTTGGCCTTATCCTCAAAGATGTGTTACTAGAATTACTGGATTAATGATCATTGGGCTCTCTAGTTCTCTCCCAAGGAAGATGATAAATTATCTCATGCTACCAGATACTCATGATACTTAAGATACCAGATTCAGTAATGAGGAGTATCGTTGAAGTGTAGGAAACATTGTGAATGGGGTAAACAATTTGTATAGTAAAAATTACCTTTTCTATAAATTATCACTCACTAATTGAGCTTTTCAGTAGCTCTATCTTATGGGAAAGTTTTTTTTTCTTCATTAAAGTTTTATTTTCAGACCGATTAAAGGAACACACCTCTGGGATATCACATTTCAGGCTACAAGGAGTAAGGAAAACCTTAGTAACATTAACAGCATTAAAATTATGTAGAATATTCTAGTGAAAAGATACTCTGATTAGAAAAAATATCGTAAACATTTGAGAAAAAATATTTTTATGTAAGGAAACATTTTCTGTAAGATTTAAATAATAATTTACATGCCATTATGTGTGATCCATATAGAAAGAAGTCTTTCAGGCTCAAAAGGTGAGGAAAATTCATGGGAAGATTTTGTCCTAGTGTGGACAAAATAGTTTTCTTCAAATATGAGGGGAGTAATTGAGTTTTATTTTTCTCATGTGTTTTAGGCTATTGGTTGCCTTTGTGGAGACACGAGCACATGTCCTATGTAGTTTGACATAGGTAGGGTGTGTGTGTGTGTGTGTGTGTGTGCGTGCGCACACTCTCTCTCTCACACACACACACACACACACACACACACACACACACACACACTGAGTCCTGCATCATGAGAAGAGTGCTTTAAGCATGTGTGGTTTTGAAGGGAGTCCAGCAGGATTGGGCCAGTAGTCAGTGTTTCTATTTATGTAGTGCATGTAATATGTAGGTAGAAGTAGAACTTGACATTTTTGCTGCTACAGTATAAATTTTGTGATTTGTGCTTTCCAATTTTCTCACTTGGCAAATGGGAGGAAAATTGGAGAGCAGTGTCTTATATTTTCCCTTTCTGTTTAAATCTCTCCCTAGAACCAGCTCTAGGTCAGGATAAACAGATCAGGCTATTCTTTTGAAACTAAGATTTTTCACCTCCCTTTTTTCTCAGGAACCCAACTTTATAATCAGTGTCCTGAGGGAGGAAGACTTAGGGGGAGAAGTACTTTGTTCAATGTCCTAGTTTTCTATTGCTGCCGCAGCAACTGACCATAATTTTAGTGGCTTAAATAATATATATTTATTATCTTATTGTTCTGGAGGTTTTGATGTGGGTTTTTTGACGGGTTGCATTCCTTTCTGGAGCCTGGAGGGCAGAATCCCTTTTCTTGGTATTTCAAGTCATTGACAGAATTTGGCTCCTTGCAGTTGACTGTGGTACTCAAATCCGTGCTAGCTGGCAGCTGAGGGCTGTCCACAGTCTTTCGCAAATGCTGACATCCCTAGTCCATGGTCCTCTCCCTCCACCTTTAAAGTCAGCAGAAGCATCATCCCTTCTTCCTTCATCTTATATTTTAAG